TTAATCTAACATTTTAATAAAGTTGAAATGTTAACTTAAATAAGTTACATATTTTGAGTCCTAACTATTAATAAAAATATTCAAATGGAGTTTATAGTTGTTTTTTCCCTAAACGTAATATGTTTAAACTTTTGTTACTATAATATTTTTGAAAAATGTAAAAAATTTTATGATTAAATAATTAATTATTGAAACATTTTGAAATTACTAAAAAAAAAAAACTTGAATTTAAGTTAAAGTATTTATTTACTTGAGCTTGCTTGCAAGCTTGAACTTGAATACTTGTGAGCTCGTGCACAAGTTCAACTATTTCGAGTTTAACAAATACTCAAGCGTGACCTTAAGCACGATTTCAATTATTTTGAGTTTGACCAATACTCAAGCTCAACTCAAGTTTGAATTTTTAAAACAAGCTCGAGTATGAGTGCTTATGTGTACTCAACTTGTTAACAACCTTAATTAAAACTATTCGTAAAATTATTTAGAAACTCTTAATAAATCTTTCAATATATTAATTTATTAAAGATATTTAAGTTTTTTTGTTTTTATTCATGATATTTTAAATATCAAAACATTTTAATTTTTACTTTTCTCTGCCTCTATCAATTTTTATTTGCATCCTTTTTGCTAATTAAGCGCTGTTGCTGTACTGGATAATTTCCAGTGTTATCATGAATAAATAATTGCATTGTTTGCTTCTTATGATCTAAACCCTTCGTATATTGATGACGATAATTTTTCTAGCACTTTTATTATTATTTTTGTTATTAATATTGGATGATAAAATATATAATAAGATATAAAGGGCATTTGTTTTGATTTATTAAAAATAGTTATCAATTATTGGCTTTAATCAAACATATTAAGTATTTTTAATTATCAATAATCAAATACCAACTAATTAGTTATCAATTGTTTCAAAAAAAAAGAAAAAACTAATCCTAACAAGTCTAATAGCCTTCTACTTTCCAAATCCCTCCCTAAAATGTTCACTAAGGGACCTTAATTAATGACAATACAACTAGGGAATACCATTTGCTTTCTCAAATCTCTTAACGCTTGTCTCAAAGCTCAAAACTCTGAGGCGCAGGGTAAATAAGTTTAAATTCCTTGCCAATCTGACAATTTCTTAATGCAGGAGAGAACATAATCATACATAGTTGATGGAAACCTGAAATATCAGTGTAATAGCCGTCCCTTATTTAACAAATCACATCATCAAAACATCAATTTCTTAAGAAAAAAATTATAGAGTGAAACCTGTCAGTATTATGTTCGATGTGAGTGAGTTACAACTTCAAGTAAGTATAAAACATGATTAATTAATCACTATAGAAACAATGGAAGGTGACTAAAGCAGAGAACATTATATGTTCATACACAAAAGAAGAGTTGTGAAGACTATATTAAACCTTCATTTGAAAGGTTTCCTTTACTGAGAACAGAGTATGCTGGAAAGCAAAAGCTTAGAACTGGTATGGGAGCCGGTTGATCTTTAGAGCCTTGAACCTGTTAGTTTTAGGATCATAAGAAACCAGAGCTTTCTTGTTACACTCCAACACAATCTTCCTGTTCTTCAGGACGCATAAAACTCTTATGAATCATCCCACCTAGCTCAAAGCAAAATCTTCAGTCACCATTCCAAGAGGAGCATTATGACACTAATCTTCCGTTCTTCAGAACTACTTTTCGAGAAAAAGGCAGATAATAGTCAGGTGGATCTCATTGCCATACCACAGCAGTCACCCATGATGGTGTAAATAACACAACTGTTACTGATGTATTGATGATCAAAGATTCAACACAAACTAAAAACTAGTAGTAGAGGC